TATTACGCGACGAAATTTTAATTAATTAGTATCTTTCTTTGCCGAATTAATCGACCATTTATACTTTTAAAATATCATATTACATTAATGAATATTTAGCTATATTAGTAGAAACTTGCTCTTCTGATTTGTTTCACATGCTATTCGGAGAATTCACCAATTAAAGCAATTTTACATATCTTAATACGATGCGTTATGCTTCATGATCACGAATTCACAATATTTTTTTCTTAAAAGATATAAAAATCTCGTGATGTTTTCCATAAAATGTTTTATACGAGTATAGGTGAAAAAAAGAGTGGTGACTCATCTAAAATTCTATTATATTCAAATTTTGTTGATTTGTGAATAATTTTATTGTCTGCGGTAGATCAATAACCTATTAATAAGTTAAATGTATAAGCCGGTTTTTAAATTTAGTAATAATTTGGCGCCACAGTGTAAAAAATCGGACAGACAATTTCAATAAATGAAATGGATGTTAACAGATGATTTTAAATTTAATAACAATTCTATGACGTACTAATTATATGTAATTATTAAATTTACTATGTCTGTAGACAATGTAAAAAGTATCTTAAATTTCAGCAAAGAAGGTAATCGTAATATGGAGGAGTTAATTATGATCATTAGAAATATTCGTCAAAGTCGCTAATGAGAGTACATAAATGTTGGTATGGATGTAATTGAGGGATACACCTCAATATATTAGGCGAATGGTTTTTAGTTACCTAAAACGCGTTGCGTGCTGCTTCAGTTGTAATAACCACCTAGTTGTATTGAGTGAAAGCTGTTAAGTGTTATTTAATCCATGTAACAGGCACAGAAAAAGCATTCCCCGTTGACGGACCATTCACGAACGTCTTTCATTAGTAAAAATTAAAATTCCAATTAATATTTATCTCGGTGTCTGTGGAACCTGTTCGCTTCCGGAGTTACGCTTAACAACCAGTTTGGCGCCCAATTTGTGCTTTTGAAACATTTTTTAAGATGCTCCGCGGTTCCTTCACGGTGTCTCATTACGTAATTGTTGTACAGAAACAACCATTTAAGAGAGTGATACCACTATCCAAATTAATATTGCAAGTTACTACAAATTTTCATGAGACTGGAAAGGTTTTGAAATGTAGGTACTTATAAATTAAAGAATATGAATTAATTAATACAAAAAAAAATACAAAACAATAATTTGTTGTCAAATTACTTGAACGTAAATTAAGTTATATTGAAGGAGAATAAATACAATTATTGATTTCTTAAGTAAGTTATTTTATACGAAAAATATAATGTATTAAGATTGAATCTATTTTATGTATATTCTAAATTTATTAGATACTTAATTCTTTAATAATTTTAGAATAGATATATAATTTCTTGTGTACGTGAATTATCAGTGGTAAACAATTATTACTCAAAATTTATTTTTACAATTACATGAAATGACAAATAAGTATATAGGTATATATACACTACACATATTTTGTAAAAACACTAATTTGTTGTTGTAATTCTTCAAAATAACCTACTAAATAATCGGTATATAATTTATATTATAAGTAGCGGTTCGTTAGGTTTAACCCGTTTTTAACAATTTATAAATTTTGCAATGACAATTTGCAATAAAGTATTGTCATATGGTGACCCTAGAGATTACTCTTCGTATAAATTTACAATCGTCTTCTACGAAAATAAACTGCATGGATACAATAAATCATTAGGATCTGAATTATTGTTTGAAGTATATTGTTTCAAAATTTTGTGTGATATATCAGAGACGATTTTGAATAATTATTTGACAGGTACACTAACGCTTCAGCTTGCGACGAAATGCTATAATTGGTTGTTAATCCAATCATAGCATTCGTCGTACGGCTGATATTATTCTCCATATTTCGGTCCCGTTAACCATCGGTAAGAATAAAGCCTTGTATATTAATATTTTAAAGTATATAGATTGTAAAGATGTGTATTATTGAGGTAAATACTATCAAGGTCATGCAGCGTAATGTTAACATCCTCAAGGAATTCTACTAGAATTACTCTATCGTACACAAATCGAAGGTGAGTGATGAATGCGCCATTGATGTTTATGATGGTAATATCACACGTATAATATTAATATTATCGACACGACTGGTGCCCAGATGAGATAGTAGAAGATATTGTCATCTATCGCAGTCGTTGTGAATGTAGAAATTGATATATTCACATTTATTTTATTTATTGTTTCTGCACGAATTTACTGAGTAGTTTAGTGTCGACTAGATTAGAACTCACTAGAACTTTGTAAAAATTACTCTCCATGTTACACATAATATTATAGTGAGTTTATTACTTACTACAGAAATATGTTACCTGAAAAGTAATATTACAACTGCATAACGGGTTTTCAACTGCACCGTTTTTAGTTGTCGGTCATAATATTCGTTTTATTTGAGCAACATTACATTTTGAAAGATATGCGAGTGGCTTATGTCGAGATGTTAATTACAGAGGCGTCGTTGATGAATTGTCCAGATTAATACATGAGACGGTCTGGCGGCATCCAGGTCGCATGTGCGTGCCCACTACGGACCATTGCGGCCGCCCTCAATGAGTTCTGTTCTGTATCATCTCGTAGAGAACATTCATGTCTAAAGATAAACCGAGATATATTAAGTTGAATGTGTTTAGACAAGTAGCGAAACGTTCACGATACTAATAATTTTTGAGTTTGCTTTAGTATTTCTTGTAGCAGTTGCAGAGCTGGATTATCAATAGATATGTTAGGAGGAATATGTGATAAAGGCGTAGATAAGAATATAGAGAATGAATGAGTATTTTCTCAGAATTTTTGTAGTGATAAGGAATCTGTAGCTTTAGACTTATATAAACAAAATTTGATGTTGAAGTCTTTTGACAGATTAATATTAAAATAGGTTTTTTCTATAACAGAAGGACAACATTATAATACATATATATGCAGAAATGCTATATTGATGGTTTATTCAAATTAGAAAATTATGTTCAGGGAGTAATTAGCCTATGGTGTTGATGCTTAAAAAACTTTTTTATATAATGTATTCTAGCTTATGTCGTAGTACATGTAGTACTTACATGTATCTACCGGGTTGTAAAAAGTTTTCCATCTAGGTACAGCATTAAGCTCTCAGCGCAGTAATAATCGTGGCCATTCCGCATGTTTATTATAACTAACAGTAGATAATCGTTAAGGTCTAAAAGTACTAGTCACGAATGACCGTAATGAATATGATGAGTAGTTAGTCACTTTAATATAACATTAATAATAATAAACCAGGACAATTCACCCGCCATAATTCAAAACAAAACTAGCCAAAGCTACTACTGTAGGTACTATGTGACTAAAAACTGGTAGAAAAACTTAAATAAATTATTTTTGTTAAACCATTCATAACATATACAGAAAACATCCAGGAAAATACAAATAATCATAATCATGAATACATATGTTTATATCGTCTGAGAATCAAACTCGCGACCAATGCAAGTAATGTGATGTGTTACGTGAAATAGATGAACCACCGAGGTCATTTAAATATTAATTTTTAAGGCAGCTTTACTTCTATTACATACTAGTGCGTATATCCATATTCGTCCAAGAACTCATAAATTTCTGACTTTTGTATATATTCGTATTAACATTTGATTATAGCTTATATGATTTTGGGATAATGTATACTTTTCAAACAGAAAATAATTTCTGAAATCGATACAGTATTTACTTTCTTCATATCGAAATCCGCGCTCACTCTGCATAGTTAATACATATTTTCTGACAATTTCTCTAATATTAATCACTAAAAATAATCAAGACGAGGAACGTTCCCTGCACGGTAAAAAGCTTAAGCAATAAATCTGTTTATTTTATTAACAACAGCTGCTTATAACATTTCTTTCGGTTACACTTTCAAGCTTGAGTTTGGATATATGTATAAATATGTCTTCTATCTTATACAAATTTATTTTTGCACCGAATTAAACCCAAATAGAGAAGTGTTTAGAATTAAAAAAAATATTATCATTATAATTTATATTTATATATTATATTTATTATTGTGCAAAAGATTTTGCAGAATCTGTCATCAGAAAATATGCGCTGACTTGGAAATGTAAGTGCGGAGTATTTTGTTATTCGAAGTAAACACGGGATATTTTATTTATAAAAAATCAAATATCTTTTTACTAATATAGTTTATACATCTTACGATATATCAGTAATAACAAATTTTATAAATCTTAATCCATAATCTATTTGTTATCCTAACTCTATTGAGTTACACTATTGTTATACTTAAATGTGAAAGTAAGTCTATTTATCTATTTGTTATATTTTTATGATTAAATGGTTGATAGGATCTTAATGAAATTACATGTGAATATAAATTATATCACAACTATAAATATAGACTATATTTTCTCTCAATAAATAATAATAAGTAATAATAATAGAAGGTGGAATAATTTGCATAAATGAAGTCGAGGATAACTACTAATCTTTCTATTCTATACAAGGAGTAGCGTAGAAGTAACATAGACAAGTCTATTTTATTATTTAGTAGACTAAATGATTCTGAGATTAATAGAAATGTTATTCTATATTATGTATATCTTCATGATTTATAAACAGGCTTAAAGTTTTAGTACCTAATAATTATGTATGAGTAATAATTAATTTAACTTTTTGTAATTAGGTATTGATTGATAATGTCTCGTGGTACACAATAGTATCGGTCAGATATTATGTGTTTGTAATTACATTTGGCCTTTTACTATTCAATATGATAATGATGATTTATATATGCAGATATTTGGAAGTTTATGTTTTCTGTTAATATTGATGTTGTTTCTTCAGTACACTACTTTTATCCAAACATATGTACATTTCCGTCATTAATGCTATACCTTAATATTTTTATTATTAACGTAATATCAATTTAGTCAGAATTTAATAAAATGCCGGTAATTTTTAATTTACTTACTTTTCTAAGATATTGTATATTTTGACGGGACAAATGGCTCCAACAAAAAGTGACCGGGTGAGCGCAAATCACATGTCATTCACTGCACTGTACCATACACTGGAGTCACAAAGTTACCACGGACCTAAGTTCGTTATCAGAGCGCGAGGAGACGTGCGGATCGATCCCACTGCAGGAATGTTTTGATAAGGGCGGGTGTTCGAGTGTTGGAAGAAGGAAAGACGTGGAGGGTTCCGCGACGACAATGTGAGGAGCGGAGTCCACGGTGCGCGCGGCGCGACTGACGCACTCGCTCGAGCGGAGTCTGCTCGCCTCCGCCGCTCCACTGTCAGCCGAATTGCCCATTCTCTACTACAATATCCGAGGATGATAACTTAAACTGAATGCACGCGACAAGTGCATCCATTCATTACCATAAGCTGCGCTTCAGAATGCTAATTTCTGTTATACATTTCTGATGTATAGCTTAATGGATATAAAACCTGAGAACAAAGTAATATTCTTAAAATCAAATTTAGAATACTGTTATTAAAGTCATAATTTTCTGTTTGGCAGACCATGATCATCTGTCTATTATTTCCTGGACGCTTGTACAGAAAAAGAGAGTAGTTTGTCAAGACGAGCTAACTGACTTCATGCTCATTTTATCATCATCCATTGCTGCCTCACCAGCGTAAACCGTTAGTGCAGGCGGGTGCACCATTCCATTCCACCATTCGTGTATAAACAATAAAATATATTATTAATCATAATGGTTATTTGTACGAGTTATTACAAATATTTTATACAAGATATTTAAATACTAATTACTTGAAAATAATATAGCATATGGTAGAGCCATTGCTCTACTATTTGCTTGTTTACAAATATTATTGAATGGACTAATATGAACGGCAAAATGGTATGTGACAAATACAAAAATAATATGTAACGATGTTATTTATAAATAGTTCTTCCAGTAATTAATTTAATAAACAGTTCTCTTCTATTCCTGTGGGAATTTCAGTTTCTATAATAAAAGTAATATGTAAATATTAATTATAAAGCATCAATTATTTGGCCTGTGCATGAATTTCAGTCAGTTAGTCAAGAAACCATGATAGAAATGTTAATACAATTTATGTATATAATTATGGATTAGGTTAAGCTCTATGTTTATTTGTAATGTATTTTTCTTGTGGATGTCCCTTAAAACAAATCTGGCATTCGATAAGATGGTGATACTTCAGAGTATTTCGCAAAAAACTAAGGCACTTAAGTCTTGGAAGCTGAAGCTTGTTATTGCAAACAGCAGACTGCGACATAAAGCAAAGTTCATACTGCGCACTCTCTACTGCATTTATTATGCTGGCAGTAGTTATTTGTACTAACATACTACACAAAGACAGTTGCATTTAGGCATACGGTGCACCTGATGATTTTTTAAAAGTAGTGTACGTGGATACGTTCCCTACTTATTTCAGTGGCCAGTACTTTGCTATGTAAGTTGTGCTTCGAGTGAGACAAGATAGTGAAGTTACAGGATAATAGGTGTGATATCTTAGTTCTCAGGTATGCCCACGAATGATCAGTGTCACGTACGTCATTATGATCATGTACGTGATGGTGACGGGTACCACCGTCAGTCGTACCACAGGTCGTCCTGGTTGTCGACCTGATTCGCCTTACCTTATTTGCCTTTCCAATTAAATTAAAAAGCAATATGACTATAATAGGTTTTCACTTATAATGGTCTATATTTATTTTTGTCGTAGAAATCTTAGCTTGGCAGTGAATTATTAATTACAAGTGTATGAAATCTCCACTCATAATAATCTTATGATAATCAATATAAATTTGGTTAACAGTTGTATAAATATTAAATGTCCTCATACACTTATATACAAAATAATAATATTAAACTTTAAGTCAACCGATTAATAGCAAGCATGTAGCGTTGAGGACGTTGTAACTAAAATATGTTGTTACAATCTATATATGTGTATCTTTCAGCAATGAACAATCCTAACCACAATTTACGTAATTCCTGAAATTTAATGAGTACCAACCATCTCATATATTGGCCACAGTCATTCAAATACGAGTTATGAGTCATTTATTTAATTTAATAATACCTTATTTGTGTTGGTTATAGATTGTAAGTACTTATTAGCATTACTAATACGAGACTGCTACTGTATATTGTATTACTAACAATGTTCAGGCGACCCCACTGGGCAGGACAATAAAAAACTCTAGGAAACTATAATTTTTTTACAAGTACGAAATCACTAGAAAGCCCTCCACTGAATTATAATTCTGCGTTGAAGTAAATAACATTTACTATAATCTACATAATGTGGTAGTAGTATACTATTACTGTAATAAGTACAGTATAATAGTTTAATTTTTACCCGTAATGTTGAGTGAAGCTCTGAGGGGCATCCTATCAAAATTGCTGTCTTACCACTCTATACCTATGACTTTTAATAATTAAAGTTAATTAAGTTTAGTCTTATAAATATGTAATTTAAATTTTCCACGTCTTTTGCGTACCAAAGGGGGGTCAAATCCACCATATTTAGTGTTAAAACTACTTAGATGGCAACATTGACCGTATATTCGCCTCCAGCGGCGATTCGCTAAAGCGACTCAATATAATTTGTAGTATGGTAGGTATGTTGTTACGATAAAATAATGTTGTTGTGAAACGACTACATTTACTGGTTTGAAGGTGAAACGAAATTCTGTTATCGCAAGTAAATCTGAACCAATATCTTAACGGCTAACAGACCTGAAGTTTTACCGGTGTTGTATTAAATTTGTTTTTTAACATTGCATTACCTATGTTCTTTAAGTAATTTAAACAGGTTTATATTAAATATACATTGTTAAGTACAACTTTTATATGTAAGCGAGCGTTATTGATTTTTATTAAGACTTTATCTTGAAACGTCTAAATTATTTCTGGTACGAACGAGTCATTTGAAAGTCTTGTTTTATAGTTTTTTAATGTCTTTTCTTCACCGTTTAAAGCTACTGTCAACGAGATTACCTATTAATTCCAGACAACAAATGTAAACTACTTTTTCATAAGAGATTTTTAAAATATACTTTTATCTCTTATTTTAAATATAAACCTACATGTACATGTATATATTTAAGTACCTCTAAAATAAATGCATCCGAGGTGAATGTTCGCTAAATATGGAAAGTTTACAAATATTTTAAGTTTTTTTGGAAAGGTTCATTTTGTACCGTGGTAAGAATTAAACTATACTTTTTCCTAATATTATATTACGACAATGCTTCTAGAAACATCTAGAGACAAATATAGACCACTGCAGATTAATGCATCTTTTGCTAGTTTATTTTGATTGTAGTTAAAAATATATGAAATTTTATTTTTGATGCACATTTTGTTGATCTGCATAGTGTTAATTCTTAAATAGACAATTGACATACAAACAAATCTAACTCTTATTTATCGATTGATGATACACAGACCGTAGCATACCGTCTCCTGTCGACTCCCTTTAGCGACGTTTTGAAGCATGTGGCACGTTTTTCGCGTGTGTCACGTGCGTTGCCACTCGATACCGGGCCATGTGTTGTTCAACATAATCTTGCAACTGATAACGTTAAACATTCTATGCATATTGTACAAATAGATATGTTTATTTACTATATGTATTAAATCGAATTATTATAGTAGGTACTACTTCATCTGTGATTTAAAAACTCTTGGATTTACATGTAATTTATTAAGGGAAATACTTTCAATATAGAATTTTATACATCATCTCTAATTGTCATAATTACATTTTATAAATTGACTGATTAAAATAAGTGAATATTAATATTTTTATTACTCAATAGTAGGTTAAGTAAACGTAGCAATATTTGTAGTATTTCGTTTGTATTATATACTTTTAAACCCAATTCTATATCATTTATTTAATCTTAATCAATTTAATTATGGACCAACATGAAATATTCTGTATGCCTTATGAAATAGAAATTAATATTACAAAATTTATTTACATTGGTAACCGGGTCCTAACACAAATAATTTTATGGTAAATAAAGGTACCTTTTTTAACGTCTCGATTAGGTTGCACTAACTGTGATAACATGTTTTCTCAGTAATATGTATGTACCAGAAGATTTCTCTACGACCATCACTATATTGTCCAAAGAATGATCGCAATACAACGCTCACCCGTACACTTATTGTCGGATTCTACCGAACTTTGAACTTATCACTGGATTTCACGCATTTGATAGTATTAAACACGAAACATAGAAATAAAAAAATAAAAAAACTGTTTATAAAGTTTTAAAGAGGTCGGGTATATATTTTTTTATACTCATAAATATTTTTATCTGGAATGGCAAACAAGCCGTCCAAGGCAATCCGCCCATTGGTAGGCAATAGACGGCACCACGAACATCACGTTATCCAGTAATAAGTTCATTGCATTGCTATTCCTGAAAACTAAATTGATACGTCTAATTTCTATACAGATTAACTATAACATACTCAGTCTTATAGTATTGTTATTCAATAGAGTCTTGCTTATTAATCATCATTCATAAAGCCTTTATCACGTTTTGTGCACTTTTTAGCAGAGAACAATTGGGCTGCAGAACATACACGGCAAAGATAACGGTGCATTAGCAAATTAAGTAAATACCTACATACGTAGTTACTAGCCATGTCGTAAAATTAACGTTTCCAAATTTATATTAATTTAGTAAGAAATATGCGTCGAAACTAGGACAATGTAACTGACAGTAATGTTTAATTTTATTATTCGTATTGTGTGTTCATCAAAGCGAATGTTGTGAACGCAATAGGTAAATCATTACTGGCCAACATACTAATATTTTGTAGCCACATAATTACATGCCTGTTATAAACTGGACAATGTAGTAATAACAATACAGTATACGTCATAGCTATTTAATAGATATTTTATTAACTTCGTTCATCATTGTATTAGTAGACTATGATAGCCCAGATAAAAATCTGGGCTAAGGTTTCCTACTCCTACTTTTTACGGTCATTTAATTGGTTACATTATTTATAGTATTAAAAATTAATACATAATATAATTGTCTTAATTCATGTAATTAGTGGATAAATTTTATCTTACTAAAATAATAATAAAATCTTTGTAGTTTCAAATTAACAGCTTTAAACTAAATACATATGAACGTATGTATATATACTGAATTAAAATAAAATTGTAATTTATAAAATTTACTGTCTGTCTGTTCGTTCTTCT